TATGCGATTCCAGATACACTTTTCTTGTGAAATGTTTTTAACAACCTCATTTTTATATTCCATATGAATTCAATCAAAGTAATAGTCTCTGTTCTTCAGATTAGATTTAAAAAAATTTTTTTAATGAAACAGCCAATGTATTTCATTACATTTTTTGGTTTGCTCCTAGTTTAACCTTATGTATATTGCTTAGAATAATGGGCCAAAATCAGGTTTTACGTTATTATGCCAGTTTGAGACGTTGTTATTCATGGTTTAGTTTTATTTTATGTATTTATTTACAGATACTGATTAACGTATGTTGCACTCTTGGGGGGGGGAAAGGTATTTTAGGCAAGAGACACCATGCAGACCCCTACAGTTATAAATCAGATCCTGTGTGATTTGAAATCTGTGTAAGGCAGGCAAGTATTTGAGAGACCATTCAAATGGCATGTGCCCAGAGTATATTGTACAGAACTCAGATGATGTAATTAGTAATAAATCACATGTAGAAAAAAGCAGCAGCAGCAGCATACTTTCCCACATCACAGAGAATAAATTGTCTTCATAAAACTGCTGAAGTTCCGAGGAGAAGTTATATGAGTTATGCACTTTCTCACCGACAGTAAGTTGTAATAGGTGCAATACCTCGTAAACAGGCCTGCCTGGTGTTTATGAGACAGTTAGAGGAATAGAGTTCTTAAATTGGTAATGGCTGCTGTGCTTTGCATACCCTGCTTCCTTCATTACAGCTTGGCGAACTCATTCCCTTTGCTGTACCTTAGTCCTCTGTGTTTGTATGTATGTTTGGGTTTCTGCTGGTGGTTCCACATTCTGCATGCTTTCCTAAAAGCGGAGCAATGTGCTTTCCCATAAATGATAAAGATTATGGGTTAGCCTCCTACAGACTCTGTGTTCCCGAGAAATGGGCTCTTTCTGTTGGTGGTAACTCATGTTTTGATGTCATTGTTCTGAATTGTTCTTCATGTTGTAAAATGGAGTTGAAATGTACTCCCATAAGAGTTAGCTTTTCATATTGGGCTGGAAACTCTTCATCTCTGTGTAGCAATTTGTTTTATTATAACCAATACTTTTAATTGTACCTCCCATAATGAAGAGCTGACTTAATACTCTGTGCTAATCTTGTTATGACTTTAAGAAGGTAAGTAATTTCTCTAACCATTCCTAACAGTCATGGTAAAGTGTTAAAGGGTTTTTCAATTTTCTTTTTTTCTTTATTTTTCACATGAATTTTTCACTTGTAGCATGAACTATTCTTTGTGTCTTTTTCTATTTTTCTTGTAAAAAAATTTTTGTGAACTGATTTTTATTTGCAGCAAAACATGTCACGTAGATTTAAATAACTCCAATTTAGTACAGTCCTTGATTTCATTTTCCAGACCAATCATGATTGATAGTTAGAAATTGTCAGCAGGACTCTTTATTTTACCATTCCCTTAATTTATTTTAGAGTACTTTATTTCACATTCTATTTACTAGTTCGGCCTATGGGAGAAAGCTTACTCTGCTTTCCAGCATGATGAAATTATATCTTAAAGAACATAAAATCCAGTTTGCTTAAAAAAAACCACAAAGTAATGTGAATTGAATGCTTTGGGTTTGGTTACATTCTGCCTGAACTACGCAGGGGAATGGTACTGGCTGGTAGCCCACTGTATCTTCTGCCAAGGTACATTGTGAGCCAAGAGGTTGTAGAATGGACAAACAATAAATCTATGCTTTCCCTGTGAAAGGAGACACAGCCATAGCTTGTTATTTCTGTAACTACCTCTGAATGAGAAGAATTATAGTAAGAGAAGAATTATAGTAAATAATACTACTAATCACTCGCCCCACTCGGTCGTGGTACTATATGTAATGTAATATGGATTCCTTACTTAGCAGTAGCTGTGAAAAGAATAGAGATTTTTCGTAAATGTCACAAATAAAAAAGTAGTAAAACATACAAATAATGAACATGATAAAAGGCACTTAAAGCACATGACCCCATTTATACAAAGCTCCGTTGTTGCTAAAACTGTATGTGTTAGAAAACTGGTGGGTTTGATTCAAAAGCATATTTTACTGCAATTTTGTTTAAAAACTAACATTTAGGATGTCAATGTGCAATTCATATTAAACAAAGAGAAGTATTATGTAATAACTAATTTTGATGTCAGTTATGTTAAAACATGGTTTGTATTCTGCAGCTGTGAGCATAGGTTGGGAAACGATCAAGTCTAGCTGATCAAGCCTTTTATTTTATTATCATGGATTCCTCTTCCACAGCTGCTTTTAAAATTTGTGGGAAGCAAATTATTTCTCATACTGCATATGTTGCCCATCAGGTGAGTGATAACATGAAAATTGTAGGCTGGGTGTAAGAAATCAAAAGCAAATTTAAAGTCCTCTGTGTGCACAGAATTAAAAAATTGACCTGTTAGAGGCTGTGTGTGAAGCCAGCTGTCTTTTGTTACCATTGTCATTTGGACGCTGTAAGAGCAAAACTTTGTCAGCACGTTTTTTATATTAGAAGATTTGATCTGCAAATCTCAGCTGCTCTGTTCATTATAAATCTCTTGTTTTTGTCCATACACTAGCTCCACTATAGGTTGGAAGGGCTTAAAGATGAACTGAGGAGGAATAGAGGCTACAACTCGAGAGTAACTATTACTGCTCAAAGGAGCTGTTTTCCATTCGCAAACATTGCTTTGCGCTATGGGTTTGGGCTCCTTCTGTTCCTCCACTTTGTTGAAGACTCTCTCTTGACTTCCATTTTACTTCTTTAGCACTGTCTTTGTCTGCTAACATTTTTCCTCCTTCTCTAGTAGCTTTTATCTGTGTCCTTTGGATCACATATTTTACTTAGTTTGTTTTAGTAGATTGTTTCAAATGTTTGTGTTTTGTATTTTTGGTTTTTTGCCTTTTTCTTTAGGACTATGTTATCTCGCTGAGTTTCATTGCACAGTTTGCTGAATTGCTTGGTTATTTTGCAGCAGGCCCATTCCTCGTTTTCTCTCTTCATATGGTTTTCAGTGAGAAATAAGAGAGCCTCTTCCATTTTAAACAGTAGTCTTACACACATAGGCCCATGTCTCCTTTTGCACACTCCATCTTCTGCCTTGCCACGTCCATCCTGCTTTTCTCTCTCTCTCTCTCTCTGTCTGTGCCTCTCTCTCTTACACGCTTTCTTTCCTACCATTATACCATCTTTTTGGTCCAGAATTGTCCTTTGGTAAATTATAGGTAAATATTTACTTCCTCCAAAGAGAGTTCATGTCATGACTTTGAAATCTGGTAAAACAACTCTGGGCCAAATTTGGGCATCATTAATATTTTGTTTGCAGATTTCTTGTATAGTACTTTTGGTGGGAAGGAGGGAGGGTTTGGGTTTTTTCTGTTTGTTTTTTTTAAACAGTGTTTTTTTTCAGGGAAGGACACCATAACCCACTCTAAGTTGCAACATTACTTTCCATAAGTTATTCCATTACTATAAGTAGACTGTGTTGCTCTGTAGAATCCAATTTTTTTATGTGAATATACATTTGGGGCAAGCTGCTGTGGAACAGAAGAAAGAGGTTTAGAAGCTGGGACATAGTTTCAGCCTTAAATGGTTGTTCCTTTCTGAAGACAGCTTTTTGGGGGTTGAGTGTGTACCATTCTTCATCAATTGTTAGATCATACATATTCACTTTCTAGGCAATTTTTCTGTAACTGCAAATTGAAACTGTAGTCTGAAAGATAATATGGATTCATTCTACTTTTTTCAGCAGACAAATGTTCTGCAGAGAAATTACACCCTCAGCGTCACCTGTGCTATTCCACTTCTTTCACCACGTGTACATGGTTTTACTTTGTTAGTCCTCTCACTGAAATTTAGCAATACGTTTGTCAGGAAAGTAAGAGAGAAGGATTCCATTCATGCTCTCTCAGAGGTTTGTCTTCCCATGAAGTTTACTTTAGCTGGGGTTTTGTCCACACAGAAAGATTTTTATTCAAGTGTTATCAGCTCAGTCAGCTGAGCTGCCAGAACATAGACTGACTGCTGATCAAATTAGTTCACCTAAAAACTTGCAACTTCAGTGTTATTAGACAATGTGCTACCTTTCCAAACCTGAGAAGAATTAACAAGAGCTGATGCTTCAGTATAGATAAAGTTTAATGTGTGTTGTGTTTACAGGACTGAAACTCTTCAAAAAACAATTATTTTTTAAATCTGCATGGTAAACAGATGGAACTCTAAATATTCAGTGTTACTGGAATATTAGACCAAAGTGAATCCTCCAGTTTCCCCGGAGTCAGAATAATGTATCTGGAATAGCACAGTGGCAGCTAAGCCACTTCTAAGGAAGAAGATTTGTTGAGAAACCAGTTGTCATTCTCACACACTTTTTAAAGTAGAGTTGCACTGTGAAATTCGTACTGAACATAGCATTTCTTTTAATGAAACAGAAACAACTGAGTAAATTTGTCTGGCTCCAGCCAGGAGCTGTTTATACAGTTGTGAGTTGCTTTTACAATTGCAAAGAAGTCTTATTAAATATCTTCAGAATCAACACAATCTAAATTGAGTATTTTACCTGAAAATATCAATAATAGAATTTTAAAGCAGGTCATGATAAGATAGTTATGTTAGTATTTTGTTTAATCATAAAACAGGACCTAGATTCAGAGTTACTGTAATTACAACTGTATAAGAAAATGTGGATTTTCTGTTTAAAACTGAAGCTTAACATGTAATTTTAACCACTGTGTTCTGTGATTTTACTCTATTACTGTCCTTAGGCCATCTTCTTTCTTATTGGGGCGGTGTGTGAAATCAAATTGCTTTTATCAGATCCCGACCATCAGCTACTACCCTTCTGCTTAAATATAATTATCTCATGTAGAGTATGTAAGAATGTTGCTGAAAGTACGTATAGCCTCTGTCTTAGATCCCAGGAGCTTGCCCATTATATCTCTGTATTTTGCATTCTTGTTAACTTCTGTAGCTCATAGACTCTGTGCTTTCTCTGCAGGTCCAGTCTAGATGCAGCAGCAAGGAGAACATTCTCAGAGCAAGTAAGTACTGAAACTTGATAGCTCTATTGAGAAACTAAGACGGCTCAGAAGACAGCAAATGATAGTCAGACGAAAAGAGAATGATGTGGTTGGGACATGCTGGGTTTGCACAAGAAATTTAATAACTTAAGACAATGAAATTCATTCCAAAGAGAAAATAAAAGCATAAATAGTTCATAGTGTTCATGTATGAATGTATAGTTGCCTTTTAATTTTTTCTTCCAAGATGTTCTGATGACATGGAGGTCTGTGGTGATGTATTACTGTAAATAATTGCGTATGTGCAAGTTTTATGGGCAAAAAGAATCAATACTCAAAGACAATGAAAATGGAAATTCTATAGTTGAATATACATGATTTTTATTTTCATACCTGAGCATGAACTTGAGTGTTGGGTTACATAAAACCAAACCAAAAAATGCAAATGTTAAGAATTCAGATTTGATCCAAATAACCTATTCTTTAATTTGCACAATCCCTTTCCTTTATTTTATGTGAATCTTTCCTAGTCTAAAATTAGATCCATTGTATGTGTATATATATATAAAATAACAGGAATAAGAAGTTGTTTTGGTGATAAGAGAGAAGGCTGTCAGGAATTTTCTACCTTACGCAGCCAGTTGACTTAGTTGCTTCAAAGCTAGAGGATTATTTTGTCATACAAAATTTTGCTTAATGTAAATAGTTATTTTTGGAGCCATTTGACATTAGTGAAAGTTAACTTGGGAAGGTCTGAGGAGTTGTTTAATATCATTTACTTGTAATTAAAAGTGCCACTTAGTAATCTTAGAATATTAATAAAAATCATTTTTAGTTTGTCTCTGGGTCTGTTTAAATGTATGATACCTCTAAAAGAAGAGTTAGCATTTGTTTGTAGGAAGAAATAGGGAGAGAGAAGTGTTAGTAGTTACACATGCGTCCTTTTTCCTTTTATCATTAAGATTATTCATGCTAGTGTTAAACCTGAAGGGATTCTGTTTTTCAGTATGTATTTTCTTGGCTTCTTTTGCAGAATAATGGGTGTTACTTTCAGTGTTGGAACAAAGTTGTCAAGATTAGGGGATTTCATCTATTTTAAAAAAACTGTGTTGAAGAACACATTTCTAAGTAGATTTCAACAGAACCTTTGACTTAAGCAAATGGCATGTAGTAGATAGACACAGAGTTTTGTATCTGAAGGTGGTACTGTGGGCACCATTCGAAGCATTCAGAGCCTCTGGATTCATTCACATTTTAAGGGTTAAAGAGGTGAAATATTAGTTTCTGAAGTAGTATTTAACAGAGAGTTTTAGGTAGCAGTAAAACAAACATAAAAGCACCTAATGGCTGTCACATAAAGGTGGTTTGCTACCACACAATTCCCCCACCTTTCACTGCTGAGACATTTTTTCCTAGCATCTTCTGTCATTTTTTCCAACTTTTTCTTTTAGGAAAATAGTTTCTTAATTTATACGGTCAGGAAAAAAGTTTTTAACATATATTGTGTGGAATCTGCTGGATCTGCAGGAATTATGGTGCTGCTAAGTAGGGTTTCTTTCTCTATGCAGAGAAAGGTACGGGAAGGTTGACTGTGTCTCACAAATGCTTTTCTTTCCTTTTCCTCATTTTTATGAGGTTGCTAGCAAAATACAGGCATAATAATAGAAAATGTAAGCTTGCGAGGGCCATCCCTGTTGTTAAATCCAGGAATGCAGTTTTTCCTCTGATTACAGGTTTATCTTACAATAGTTTAATTTGGATCATTTCTCCCTAGTTTGTATATAAGAAACTCCCGTTTAAGAGTGTGAAAATTCGTAATATAGTTAAAATATATCTCATCAGCTGTTTCTCTCTTCCTCAGTATGCCAACTGCTATGTTAAGGAAAGGAATTAAGTCAGTTAGAAATTATTTGTGCTTGACAAATTCACAGTGCCTGCTTTTATCATCATGTTATATTCTAAATACATACAAAGAGATTGTTCAAATAATTTCGTCCAGAATCTTTCTTGGGACTGGAATTAGGTGGGCAGTTTTATTTGTCTCTACTTCTTCCTCTTAAAGATAGTTACTGTGGTAATGGCAAAAAAGAAATTAATGATCAATCTCCCACACAGAGAGAAACAAGTGTCAGTGCTGAAAGAAGTTTTGTATTCACAGATTGATTAAGCGACTTTCTCTTCTGAAGGAAAAACTTAAATTGCATGATTGTTTTACTATTTTTAGTTGTTTTTTATTAGAAGACTATATTTAAAGCAATAATCTATTTTTTTCCAGAATGTGAAGGCTTGTGCAGCAGCAAATGGGATAGTTAGGGAGCTGCTGCAAAGGAAAATCATGTCATTAAAAATTAGTTTCTATTATTTGTTAATGCTATCTTACTATAATAGGTGTTGCTTTAGGAATATCATTACTTATTACATATAAAACATCATCCACTTTAGCTCTCATAAATACCTCCTTCTTCTACGTAAATCCATTCAAGGTATTACTACAAATGTCATTTTTAATCTCTTTGTTTGTATCTGTTACTCTTGTTTATGTATTCCTGCAATAGTTCCCTCTCTTCAGTTGCTTATCGTCACTTTCAAAATTCTTCAAAGCTTGTTGTCCCTTTGTTTGCTCTCTCAGTACCTATCAAGAAATCAGGCATGCTGCTAGCTTCGTTTTCAAACAACTTGTCGTATTTTCTCTCAACCTGTCCCTCATACTTGGGAAAAGTAAGCTTCCAGTAATCTAATCAAATTATGCATTTAAATGTCATTTTGCTGTGGTGACTACAAAACCTTGACGACGGGTAGGATGCCCACTAGCTGGAAACACTGTCTGCTGTCCTGACTGTCGAGTGATTTCATTGTGCTTCCCTCTATCCTCCTTTCAAACCTTTTGACTCCCATCTCACCTTTAGTTTGCAAACTCACTGGGACAGTGTCCATTTTTGTTTTATGCACATGGCATGTTGAGATGTGTCTGTGGAGAACAGAATGAAGAGTGAATCGTCCTGAGTTCATACTTCATAGAACTGAGTTAGCCTCAGATTATCATCCTCAGTGTAAAATACTGCATCGTCTTGAAGGATTTCTATTTATGATTAACTGCTTTTATGCTCATCAAGACTTCTGGTATGTTTTTCATTACAAGTAAGGATATATGCTTTTGTGAACTTTTTCAAGCGTAAATTGCATTTTGTTTTAAATCTGTCTTTTGATTCTAGTTGAATACAGTGCCTTCCCAGTGTCTGACATAAATGCTGTGATAACTAACTTATTTAACTTACCCCAAAGTGCTTACTTTCAGTAAATGAACATCACTGTGTACATCTACACATTGTAGCGTACATAAACTTGGTGCTTTCTCATTGCAGGTCACAGTGCTGTTGACATTACCAAGGTAGCAAGAAGACACCGCATGTCTCCATTCCCATTGACATCTATGGACAAGGCCTTCATCACAGTTCTGGAGATGACCCCAGTGCTTGGAACAGAAATCATCAATTACAGAGGTATTTTCAGTTGGATTCTTTGTGAGGATTAGGGTGATTATTTCCTTATTTTACAACCTTCTTAAGCACTTGCTCTTTTATTAATGTTGTAAGATGTCCGAAACAATACCTTCTCCAGGTGAAACTGCTTTAGGAAGTGCCAATAATAGGAGCAGAAGTCTCCTTTTGAAGTCAGGAGAATGTCAGTTGAGCTCAGTGCTGCTCCCTGAAGGAATCTGTAATGGAACTCTAATTGAATATATAAATGAATTTTCTTAGGATCTGTGTTATATGCAACAAAGCTAAAACATAGAAACCACCATTTGCCTCAGTGGTTGATTTAACACTGGACTTTTGTAGATGCCAAGTAGCTCCAAGTTGTACTGTGATCATTTAGTCTGCTCTGTTACTGTAGGAGATTCTCACTAAACCAGCTTTCCAATCTGAGATTAAGGATCAAATCAAAGTGATTATTGATTCCAGGTCACATTTTTCGATGTCTGTATCTTTAACATTCGTCTCAGTCTGGTTCTTCAGATCCTGCTTGGCCTACTAGTAATTCCAGGTTTTGCCTCTTCTTATATTTCTCTTTCTATTCTACCACTACATTGGATCGTTTTCTGATACTTACTTGCATTTAATGTTTGATTTATTGAAACTTTATAGTCAACTTTACATTGATGTATACAGTGAAGTTTTCTTAAAAGGCACCAAACAGCAGGCAAAATGTCAGACCTAGTGACTGTGTCTATACTCATAAATAAATGGTGATAGGTGAAGTCATTTTCTGTCCTTAAAAGGAATTAGCAGGGCACCTCTCATGTTTATTCAGCAAAACTGTCCTCCCTCTGGAAATAGTGTGTTCATAATGCTTATTTAGGCGTCTCCCTTGCTTCTGCTGTCCCTTAGACCAAGCCTGGGCATTTTCTGGGAGAGTGTTCTTGGCACAGAACAAAACCATGATAGGAAGCATGCTGACAAGTAATCCTAAAGTAGATAGGGAAGAGGAAACCTCCTCCAGGGATTCCTCCAAATTTTCCAAAGGTAAGGTGGTGAGCAAAGAGATAGTGGAACCACGAGCCTCAAGAGGCAAAATGTTTAGGACATTGGTGGACTCCAGGTCGCAGAGAGGCACAAATGGTTTCTGAATGGGATATTCTGTCTTCCGGCATGAAAGTTCAAAGTTTTCATGCTCTTCATCAAATCTTTGTGCTGCCACAAACCTGTCTTCATATTGACATACTGATTTAGCAGACTGTATGTAGAATCACAGCTGTGTGTTTAGTAACTCCAAGTGGAGATCAGCACTCCCCTGTGCCTTGGTAGCAGGAAACAGATCTCTGAGAAGATGCTGCATATCCTGCATTCAGAACAGCACCAGTACTGGGTCAACAAGGAATATGCGTATTACTCCCTGCACTTTCATAATGATATGCAGATTAGAAGAAGGCATTAGGGCATAAATGCTTGAGCATAGCTATTAGATCTTTTTGGATAGCTGTCAGTTAAATGTCTTTGCTAAGACAGCCCTTTGTGGACAATATGATGAGCCACAGTATTAGGTACATTTAGCCCACATAGATGCTATGTACGCAACACTCAACTCCTGAAAAAAAGGATATAACTATGGCATGTACCTTCCTGAAAAATAAGCACAGCATATGTTTGTTTTGCTACATAAGGTACTGTTATGATACTGTAGCATTATTATTCTTTTTTACATGAAAATGGGTTTGATTTTTTAAACCTCTAGTGCAAAACTAAGCAAAGAAATAAGTTCTTGAATTTGGGTTTTATTGATTATAGGGAAAAACAAGTATTGATAAGCTGTTATTTTTCGCTTTTTTGTCCTTGTTTCTATAAATTTGTCTTATTGTCTTGTCTTTTTATCTTTATTTTCATTTTTATCCATCTCTCTATCTTTTACACTTCTGGATTAAAACTTACATACTGTGTCACAACACTTTTGTGTTGCTGCTGTTGTGTTTCTCGACAGAAGCTGTATTTTCCCTAGAAGTTAATAAAACGTGGCTAAAAATGTTCTTCTGGGTAGACAGAGAATAAGCATAAGCCTCACATGCTGCATGTATGTTGATATAGATAACAATAACATCACTATCTATTTATATGTATACACCAGTCTTTGTGCAAACATATTTGTATGAACAGTAGGTAGCAGCTTTTTCATATACTGATTTGCAAACTTCTTCACTAGAACTATGGTGAAATCAGACACAGCACATATAATTTCCTGCTGCAACATGGTTTGGACAAGCTTTCACCATGTAATTTATTTTAATATGAAAAAACCTTCAAAATATGGGCTAAGTAGCAGTTTTGTGTTAATAATGATAATGTTACCATACCAATAACAGTGATTCTATTCAGATTGCATGCTCTTCAAAATGTGCTTACAGAGATAGAATGGAGGTAATCGGTCTTGGCTAGATACTTATATTCTCTATAGCATTCTATATACTCTAATTTGTCAGTTCTTATTCCACTACTTGTCAAGATCATTAATAAAGATATTAAATGGGAGTGGCCCCAACACTGAGCCCTGTGGAACACCACATGTAGTGGTGTAGTCCTGGAGGTCTGAATCCTAACTATCTGTACTGAGAAAAGCACTACTGTTCTCTGTTTCTTTATTTTGTGGGTTTGTGTCTTGAATTAACACTGACCTCCTGAAAATTGTCTTTCAGGAGCACAATTTCTCTGTAAGGAAAGTGAAATGTTTAAAGTTCTAGGATTGCAATTTATTTCATTAAGAAATTACCTAATTAATTTTAACCTGATGTATTTACATTACTAAACACATAACATAGTATTCATCCTCATAAATAAAGGTGCTGAATGTTACTCTGTACCAGTAGCCAGTACAGTCCTGATTTAATTCTTGATTAAGTCAAGGCATGCTGTAGTCTCTCAAATCTATTCTCTCCTAACATAAGGGGGAGGATGAGTACAGTTATCTTTTGAAACACGACTTTCACAATGGTAAGTGTGAAAGTGCCATACAAAATACCATAAACCAGAGGCATCTGAAGCATCTTTCCCGCCCGCCATCATCAATATCTGGTATGAAGCCCCCATTTAGCCTTTTATTCCAGGTAAAAGAAGTTACCTGAACATTGCCCCATGGGTATATAAGGCTAATTTTTTAGACAGCATGATAATGATTATTCTTCTGAAACTAAGAAGAGGCAGAAGTTTAATTGATACTAAAAGTACTAAGAATAGGCAATCCACACTTTATGGGCTTAAACCTCAGAACAGAGCAGTTTTTCTGATCTAGTCCAAGAGCCCTGTAACTTCTGCAGAGCTTGGACATTTTTTTCCACGTCTTATTCATTCTGAACTAGGCTGATTATTTTGATAGCATTGCTTTTTCATATCACACTGAAGTGCAATATTTTCAAAATGGGAGCAAATCCATCACCTCTAGTAGAATACCTGTCTCACTGCTTCATCCCAGTACCAATACCCTGAGAAATCAAAATTCTTCACAAAACTGTACCAGTTTCACCAGCTAAGCTTTAGCAAATAGCCAATTTGAAAAGTGAATTTAATGTAATTCTCCATTTTGTGTTAGAATGAGAAAGCTATGGACATCACAAGGGGAAGTTTGATGACATTAAAATATTTCAGAACATCTTTTTTGAATTACAATTAATCAAAATAAGGTCAAACAGTGTATTTCTAAAATAATTGCTCAAATAAAGGAGAGTACATAGGTACTTCAGATTGTCCTTTGGTTGCTGACTTGCTTCATTTTAAATGCCTACGGCTTCAGCAAATAATTCTTGCATTTTTCTCCCCTTAATGAAATTCATTCCCGCTACTGGCTGGCCATATATTCCCTTCAAATATTGCATGGCAGAATGCCAGGAACATACTGTTCAACTTTGCTCTAATTGGTGTGATTTTGCATGCAGACAAGAAGTAAAATGAAGACACAACATGCCTGCTAAAATTAGAAGCCTCACTTTTGTATGAGATTTTGTGCGTCTATGAACAGAGGGTATTTTTACTAGGCCTTTGATAGCTGCTTTTTCTATGCTATAATTTAAATGTCTGTGTCTGCATTTCTTTTTTCAGTGCAAGTGTACAAGCTTTCATGAGCTTTCTAATAACTTCTGTATTGTGCATCACAGACAGTGATGTGCAGCGATGCACAGATGTAAATAGCCATCTCAAAGGTGCTTTTCCAGTTGCTTTAACAGGTCTTATCAGTATTTTCATGGCAATACCTATTTCAAAAATGCAACATAAATTTTCATCTCAGGCTGAAAGTTGATACATACGGATGTGAGCACAATGATGTTATAGTTATTATAATTAATTACAAACTAAATCACTTTGTGGTAATACATAAAATATAATTTCCATTATAATACCTCTTCACTGGAGCTGAACATTTTCAAATCAAGTAGGTGCACTTTTCAACAAAACCTATCCATTTAGTGTGCAATGTTAGGTCTTTTGCCTTCCCAGCAAATACAGAACCACATCAATTTCCCTATCTGTAAAACAAGAAACACACTTTATGTACGTCTTTCTTTTTTGGCATGTCTGAAAGATCATAATCTATAAAGTGCATATCCACACAAGTTCTGCTGGCAGAAGTATTCATGCATCCTCTCATTCCTTCACACTTCAGCTGGATATTGCCTTCTTGTGCCACGATGCACTCCTAGGAGCAGTGACCCCTATTATGAGATGAGCTTCCCTTCTTCTACTTAGACATACTGGAATCAAGCCGAGCTCAGTAGTTCTGACCCCTGTGCCCCTTCCCAGTCCATCTAATCACACATGTAATAAATCATCTTTATCATTTTCCCACTGTATGAAGGGATAAGATACATATTTTCCACTCCGTTCCACATCATACTAAAAAAAAAGCTCTTGCTGGCGCCATAAAAGCAAGCAAGTAGTGCACACTTGACTGAGGGTGAAGTAAATCCTATCAGTCTCTACAGGGAGGCTGAGCCAAATTACAGCTCATCAGTCATAGTTGCTAAGTGAAGGG